CGTGACTCCTTCCTTATTATTATTATTATTATTAATAATAATATTAATAATAATAATAGAATCATTATCAGGAGAAAAAATGAAGAAGCTACACTTTGGTAACCACACAAAAAAAGAAATCGTAATTCGCGTTATATAAATTAGCAGGCGGTCAGAAAACTGCTTCATTCGATACTATTTTTGAATATTCCAGTTACATTTTGGTCTGGTGTTTCGGCTGTGATTCTTGAAAAACTCCAAAGAAGAATCTGCCAAGTTATTAGCCTCGACCTGGCACCTCTGCATCAGTCATTTCCCTACCACCGTAACGTAGCTTCCCTGTGACTTTTCAATAAATATTTTCATAATAGTTATTCTAATGAGCATTCCTCATTAGTGCGTAAAATTTAATAATTTAAGTGCAGTACTAGACTAATGGAAATATCTCATCATTTTACAGTTGAATGTTCTAGATGTAACCGTAAATTCTATGCTAATAGTTTCCTATCTCCCACTTCTCGCTTGTGGAACTCTCCTCTGGTTTCTTGCTTTCCAGTCAACTTTGATCTTTAAAAATTTAAATGCAATGTCAATCGTCATCTTCTGTCTTCTTAATCCCTGTTCATTTATTTTTCTCTCTCCTTAGTAATTTTTTGCCTGTGTTCTTTCACTACCAACAACTCTCTGCGTGTTAGTGTCATTGTTGTCTTGCTTGGGGGGGGGGAAATGATTAAAAATAATGATTATGATGAAATGATTGATTTGTTTTTAAGGCTTTTTTTTTTCATATTTTTTCGCACTCAATAACCTCTTACGTCTTAGTGACTTTAACGAAAGTACGCATACACGTTTTTCTCTTGACACCGCTATTATTGTATACATCCTTGGCAACTTTGATTGTCTTAAAAGGCTATTTTTAGAATGTTAATACAATTCAAAGATATGAAACTGGAATTCTGCATTTTTTTCTCTGTACTGACAACAAAAATATTAAACATTATATTACTTATTAGAAAACGAAAAGATTAAAAACTCAAGCCAGTGACACATTTGTCACAGATGCCAGCAGCAGGTGTTAGAAGATATTTATTGTAGAAAATGTGATTTTGAAATTTCAAAACAAGATGGCGACCCTCACGTATAACATTCGAGCAATATAATCGTTCTAACCTTACTTTTTACCCTTATTTGATATTGTATCGTAGCAGCCTAAACTCAGTAAATACAATGTTATTCATTCGCTTAACCATGAAGATAAATTCGGCACAAGGACAGGTTTTAAATGAGCCGCTCAAAATAGTGACTAGCGAGGAAAAAATGTCTACACCTCTAACCATCTGCATTTTAACACACCTCAGACATCAAGGATTTTTTTCTTAGTTTAATGGGGAAGTGCACTCTTCTTGGGAACGGCTCTTAGAGACTAAGGCGTTGATTACTCTTGACCATGAATAAATTTCTATCTTGTAGCACTCTCTTCCGGCTTTTTGCGTTTCAGCCACCGCTCCAGATTTCCTCTTTACTACGTAAATTTTATGAATTTAAGCGCAGTACGAGATTGGTGGTAAAGTCTCATCATTTTACTGTTGAAATAGCTAAATGCATCTGTAAGTTCTATGTTAACAGTTTCTTCTCTCGAACTTCTCGCTTATGGAACTTTCATCTGGCTCCATGATTTCCAGCCAAGTTTGATCTTCGAAAATTTAAATTAAATATCTCTCGTTATCTCCCGTCTTCTTAATTCCTATCCTTTTATTCTTCTCTCTCCTTAATAGTGTTTTCTTTTACTCATATTCTCTCACATCCAGTAACCCCTTGGGTCTTAGGATATTTATCGCCATGCTTGAGGATTAAATGGTTTTTAAAAAATGAAGAGCAAAGGTAGATCAGATACTCCACTATGATACCAGTCTAAAAGCCGCGAAAAGCAACCACAAAAGCAATTACAAAATTAATTAAGCCCAGGTTTAGATTTATAAAATGGAAGCTAATGTGTCTTATAGTTGTTTTTGCTGTTGTTTTAGTTGTTGTTAAAACTTCAGCCTCTCTACGGAGTGCAGAGTCACAGTGGATCATCACTCAAGGTTTGCTGCTGAGATTCTTGTAACAAGTAGGTTTTACGAGGTGGCTAGCCCCACACACAACTGTTTTCCATCTCCTAGACTGCCTACCAACCAAGGCTAGAGAGGTTCTATCTGACTAGCTATTAGACAATAGCGGGGTGTGGGTAGAAGTGATGGATACAAACCTTTCCCAATGTGGTTTGAAATTCAATGAAACTCGGTAGGTAGTTGACCTCCAAATACCAATTGCATTTTCCGAGCCGACAATCGCTACGCAAGGTGTACACCGACTTATAGTGCCGTAGATGAGACGAAAAGTTTGAAAATGTACGTATTTGTAGGCTTTTTTTATTCTTTTTCACATAGAGATTATCACGCTGATTTGAAAATACTTGCTCCAAAATGGCAGTATTTCAATTGCTATAGCATAGATTAATACAGGAATACCTCTCAAGGAATTGTTAATACAGGAATACCTTTCACAAAATACAAGATATTAGTGGCAATGGTTTGGTTTGGGTTTTTTACGGCATATCAAACTCCATGTGTTATTTAATACCGACAAAATTTTTTATTGCTGGTAATATTTTGTTTTGTCAAAAATCTATTTCTAGTAATATTTTTCCTTCAAAAATGTATTGCTGGTAATAATTTTTTTCAAAAAAGTATTGATGGTAATATTTTTAAAAAAAAATGTATTGCTGGTAATAGTTTTTTTTTTCTTTAAAAATTTATTGCTGGTAATAATTTTTTTACAAAGTATTTCTGGTGTTAAAACCTATTTTTACACTTTCATAGTGTTTTACCACAGTTTCGGGGTTAACTATTTCCCCAAAGCTGGGACCCTAACAGGTGCTACCACCACGGGTCAGGGCGACCTGGGAACATAAGCAATTAAGAAGTGGTTCTACGCTCCTGATCAGAGGCCTTGCTGCTGGACGTAGTTTATCGTGATACCCAGGACGGATTAGTGGCAATGTTGTCTACAACTAGCAAATGTCTTACCATTATGTAGGAGGTATTTCTGGGAGGTATATATCTAAGATATTTCTGTCGCACTCTGTATATAAAAAGTTAATATAAATCATCTATCATTAGGATAGAACCTGCAGAAAAAATGTAATTGCATGGACTGGTTATTGTCCAGATTTCTGGAATGCACAGTTATTACAACAACAACAACAACAACAACAACAATAATAATAATAATAATTAATATAAAAAAAATATGAAAACTATGCAACTTTTACAGGAAGGAAACTGCAAGAAATTGGTACGAACATCACCCTGACCCAGTTGCAGAGATAGGACCTGTAACAATTTTATGTGACTTTACAATACACACAGACGGAACAATCAAAGTCAAACGTCCAGACATCGGGAACAAAGGTCACAAGAAGAGAATGTGATTTCTTATTGACATGATAGTTTCTGCAGAATGTAATTTATCTTTAAAGATATTAAAAAAAAAAACTACCAAAATACAAGGATTTTGAAGTAGAAATCACAAAAACGTGGTACATGAAGACATCAATAATTCTAGTTATAGTTGGAGCCCTCGGATTGATTGGGAAAGGTTCTGAAGGATTCCTGGTAGCCCATACCTTACAGAAATGCAAAAAATGTACTTACAATTATAGCTCACACGTTACTAAGAGTTTTATCTACGTAAAATATGTGTGATCTTAGGGTTTTTTGGGTTTTTTTTTTTTTACAAAAATGGTCAGTAGAAAATGTCATGACGCCATTTCTGACCTTAAGTCTGTGTTTGGGAC